TACAACTAAACATAATGAAAAACAGCTTGTTCATATGACAAATATCTGATATAGGACTACAGTCTGTGTTAGGTAGTGCGCCCTCCACAATTACTGACACCCATTGTAAAGATTTGTATAAAAAAAAAGGTTAGAAAAAATCCACCTATTAGTGAAGTAGCTTCATGTCACACTGAAAAAATGAGGAAAATCCAACCTTTCATTGAAATAAATAAATAAATAATCCATCCATCCATTATCTCCGCTTATCTGAGGTCGGGTCGCGGGGGCAGCAGTCTCAGCAGGGAAACCCAGACTTCCCTCTCCCCGGCCACTTCATCCAGCTCTTCCGGGGGAATCCCGAGGCGTTCCCAGGCCAGCCCAGAGATATAGTCCCTCCATCATGTCCTGGGTCTTTCCCAGGGCCTCCTCCCAGTGGGACATGCCCGGAACACCTCACCAGGGAGGTGTCCAGGTGGCATCCAAAGCAGATGCCCGAGCCACCTCATCTGGCTCCTCTCATTGCAGAGGAGCAGCGGCTCTACTCTGAGTCCCTCCCGAATGACCCAGCTCCTCACCCTATCTCTAAGGGAGAGCCCAGCCACCCTGCGGAGGAAACCCATTTTGTCTGCTTGTACTCACGATCTAGTTCTTTTGGTCACTACCCACAGCTCGTGACCATAGGTGAGGGTAGGAACGTAGATCGACTGGTAAATCGAGAGCTTTGCCTTTTGGCTCAGCTCCATCTTCACCATGACAGACCGATGCAGCGCCTGCCGATCCGCCTGTCGATCTCCCGCTCCATCCTTCCCTCACTCGTGAACAAGACCCCGAGATACTTGGGGGAGGACCCCCTCCCTGACCCGGAGAGACCATTCTACCCTTTTCCGGCTGAGGACCATGGTCTCGGATTTGGAGGCACTAATTCTCATCCCAGCTGCTTCACACTCGGCTGCGAACTGCTCCAGTGAGAGCCGAAGGTCACGGTCCGATGAAGCCAACATAACCACATCATCTGCAAAAAGCAGAGACCTAATCCTGAGGTCACCAAACCGGACACCCTCAGCACCCTGGCTGCGCCTAGAAATTCCATCTATAAAAGCTATGAACAGAATCGGTGACAAAGGGCAGCCCTGACGGAGTCCAACCCTCACTGGAAACGAGTCCAACTTATTGCTGACCATGCGGACCAAGCTCACCGGTCATACAGGGACCAAACAGCCCTTATAAGGCAGCCCGGCACCCCGTACTCCTGGAGCACCCCCCACAGGACTCCCCGAGGGACACGGTCAAATGCCTTCTCCAAGTCCACAAAACACATGTAGACTGGTGGGGCAAACTCCCATGAACCCTGCGGAGAGTATAGAGCTGGTCCACTATTCCATGACCAGGGCGAATACCACACTGCTCCTCCTGAATCCGAGGTTCGACAGTCCGGCGGACCCTCCTCTCCAGAACCCCCGAATAGACCTTACCAGGGAGGCTGAGGAGTGTGATCCCCTATAGTTGGAGTGCACCCTCCAGTCCCCCTTCTTAAAGAGGGGGACCACCACCCTGGTCTGCCAGTCCAGAGGCACTGCCCCTGATGTCCACGCGATGCTGTAGATGCGTGTTAACCAGGACAGCCCCACAGCATCCAGAGCCTTAAGGAACACCGGGTGGATCTCATCCACCCCCGGGGCCCGGCCACTGAGGAGCTTTTTAACCACCACAGCGACCTCCGCCCCTGAGATAGGGGAGTCCACACCCAAGTCCCCACATTGGAAGGTGTGTTGGTGGGATTGAGGAGGTCTTCGAAGTATTCCCTCCACTGACCCAAAGCATCCCGAGTTGAGGTCAGCAGTGCCCCATCCCCACCATAAACAGGCCTGGCTCCAGGGGGTGACCCACAAGGGAAATCGTGGATCAAATGTTTTTCTTACCATAAGGGGTCTAATGAGCCGCACTTCGTCTGGTTCCTCACCCAGGACCTGTTTGCCTTGGGTGACCCTACCAGGGGCATTAAACCCTGGGCAACTTAGCTCCTGGGATCACTGGAACACGCAAACCCCTCCACCATGATAAGGTGTCGGCTCCAGGAGAGGAAAAATAATCCTTCATCAAGAAATCATTATTTTACATTGCCTTGTAATTCACCACCAGTAATCCTTGGGGATTTTTTTGCCTCTCTTATGATCCTCCTCACTGTACATGAGGGCTAAATAAACTTGGGTCCTTTTCCAGGCAGGTTTCTAACAGTTCCAGTTGTTGTCCACTTTTTTGTTATTGCCCTAACAGTAGAAATTGACATTTTTTCAGGCGAGTGGCTATTTTTTTAATACTCATTCCCTGACTTATGAAGGTCAATACACTTCTCCCTCATTTGGTTTGTATATTCTCTTTTCTTTCACATGTCGATGGATGACTAAGGGAATGTGACCTCTGTCACCTCATGTTCAGTGTTAATTCTCACAGCAAATTTTTTATTAAGTTTTAGTCAGTCTTTTGACTAAAATGTAGTTTGTCATAATTTAGTCATCTAAATTATTTTAGTTTTAGTCGACGAAATATCATAATATTACAGTTGACTAAAACTACAGTTGATTTAGTCAACTAAAATTAAAAGTTTAAAGTTTCCCTTCGATTTCTGAAAGTCATTATGTTCACCAAGATGAAATGAAACCAATGTTAAGGAATGGTGTTAAGGTCTGACATATAAATCAACTCAGGTGAAACAAAAAAATACATACGTTTTCAGGGTTGCCAAATCTCAAGCATCTGGCATGATACTCATGCTTTCAGACTCACGCAGGGAATCTTACGGCAAATCCATATTATACCATTATAAACGTAAAATTAGCTACGTCAAAAGTGTATTTACACGGTTAAATACAAGAGCAGACTATTTACAAGGTAAGAACTGTTTCATTTGTGTGCCGACAACTTGAACTGAAAATCTCACTCCAGCCAGCTGGCCGAAGTTGCCAACCCTGCGTTTTATTTGAAATTTAAAAATTGGCATGCACTGTTTTCACCTGAAACAACTCGTCATTCCGTTTGCGTTATTACTCCGCCAAATATAAAGCTAATATGAGAAAAACGTCACGTTTCATAATAAACCAATACTTAAATGTATGAACACTAAAATATATTACATAAAAACTATTGTATTAGGGTTTATGGTTTATTGAAACGCACAATTTTCACATTTTATTTAATCTCATTTTGAAATGCAACCCTACTTTTAAAATGTCCTTTTAAAACTAGTAAATGAGAAAACAGTATCCATTTCAGCAGTCATACATATACAGTGGTACCTCGGTTCTCGAACTCACTAGAACTCGAATTTCTTGAAAGTCGAACAAACCAGTTTGACCTAGAACTCGATCTGAATATCAGAAGTCGAACCGTGAACGCTGACCTAATATAAATTGTACTGTACATGCCAGGAAATGAGTCATACTACAATGCAATTCTTACTTGAATGCCTTCTTCACAGACTGGACGATTAACCAAATAAAGCAGCGCAACATTACAGTAACTAACAATAAATAAACCACTAACTTACGTGTACTATTAGAGCATTTATGTCATTTATTTAAACTTTATTTTACCAGGTAAATTAACTGAAAACCAGTTCTCGCTGCTTTACGTGATATTCGAGAGAAATGGCAGATTACGCATGGGAACTGCCTGGGATACAAACGTCATGCGTGTAGCTAAACTCTTCAGCCAATAAGGGCAAAGGTGTGTCGTGACGGAGGCGGTTCCAGTTTGTGCAGCCGGGTGAGAGGTCGCAATGCATCTAACCGTAATGCATTGCGTCAGGATCAGAATGCGTTACTTTAAGCCAGCGCTGTAAGCAAGTCGAACGCAGCCAATGACCGGACTGGGGAAACAAACTGAAACGTGGACTTAATACAGAGGACTAATGACAACAACCAGAAACATCTGATCACATAGGGATCCCACACGAGGTTAACGAGGGGGCGTGGCACACGGAAGGAGTGGACGATCGGGGCAGGACAGGGGTAATGTTGGGATAAGATCTTTATCGTTTTGGAAGCCATTAAGAAAAAAATGCTGCTCTTGTTTTATCCTGTTCATTTTGTGTTTAAATGCTTAAAAAAAAAACATATTTAGGTGTAATTTTGGGGGGCCGGGAACCAATCAAGTCGTTTTCCATTATTTCTTATGGGAAAAATTCGATCAGAACTCGAACTTTTTTGGATTCGATCCGGAGTCCGGAACGGATTAAGTTCGAGAACCGAGGTACCACTGTATGTTCAGCTCTATGTCACGTGACAATAAGTACTGTCAAAACGTTTTTGAATTGTACTGAATTAATTTTGATCTGACCGTCAGATATGAGTACATGCAACGTTGATACAACTAACGGGCTACTTAAATATATATCACAATAAATAGTTAGACGTTACGATCTTCCAGACCTTTGCTTCAAGAATTCTTCTCTAACTGGACCTCTTTAAATTTTAGAATTTTAGAATTTTAGAATTTTTGAATACCCCTGCCTTACCCAAACTACATTAGTTCTGATTGTATCTCGTCTCTGGCAAACATTTACGTCTTGTTTTTATTTGTTTAAAGTGTCAATACACTTCGTCATAGTCTTAGTCGTTGATGATAACAATGACGTTAACAAAATTATCGCTGCTCATGTTTGTTCCCCAGATAATCATGGAGTCATGGATGACAGCTTGAATGTTCCTACACACTCCAATAAACTCAAAGTTGCACAATTTACAGGGGAAACATACTTCAGTTACATTGTGTTAATATAATTTCCTGGGGTACCAATAATTGTGGCACGTGTGTTTCTGCTTAAAATAATTATTTCTTGATGCCATTTCAGTGAATGGCTGGATTTTTCTCATTTTTTCAGATTGACATGAAGCTGCTTCACCAAAAGGTGGATTTTTTCCTAACCCTATTTACAAATCTCTACAAGGGGTGCCAGTAATTGCGGAGGGCACTATATATGTCTCGTCTGCATGCGCTGCGAATTGGCATCAGTAACGCACAGATTCATAATTAAAGATAAGGAACGCGCTCTTAATTTGTCTTATCTGTTCCATCTGTATCATTACAGAAATGTGTTAAATGGCAAAGGCTATAAACGGTTATAGCAAAACCCAAAAATTGCTATTGGATTTGTTTTCCAATATAGTTCAGCCCTGAATATTCAATATTGGGGAGACACATCCCCTTATTTATGGCCTCTGTCATTTATAATAAAACTCAAACATCCAATAGTTACCCGCTGCCGGGAGCCGCGGAACACCGACATCGCACAGGAATGCTGCAGATTGGCGTGGAGCACTGACAAATGTAGAGCATAGCTAGGATTGTTTCGGTAAAAGAAACATCGGTGCATATAAATGGGGAAAGTATGAGCTAAGTGGGGGTGGTGGAGTTCACCACATTTGTTTCTGTAACAGCTGGGGGGGCTGGCATGCTCTTGGGGGATTTGGAAGACCCTGCCCACAAAAGGGTATGCAGAGATGTCTTTACACTGTCAATGCTCGTAGTTATCAGATACATAGCAGTGCATTTACAATTATGTAGTCTGCCCTAAGTCATTCTATTTTTTTTTTCTTTCCTGAAGCGTCATTAAACGGCGGTTAATGCCAGGAATGTGTGGTGGGGTTTGCAGGAGCATGTTCTGTGTTACTGGGCATCCTGCCAACACCCCATCCAGCACAGGGCTCTCGCATGCGTATGTACGTTCTCTCACTTCTGGCACCGTAATTGGTCAAAATAGAAACTCTGACTCACAGCTAAGTTGTGCTTTGTTTTCTCAGGGGCTGTGGGGGGGCGGAGTCACAGACCCAAAGCAGGCAGGTTTAGTTCTGCCGAGCAAAGAAAGTCAGTCAAGAAATGAATGAATTATAGACAAATTTTCTTTAGCCCTGAGCTCCACTTTGAAGCTTTTGTTGACATTTGTAGTGTGTTATTAGTGCTTTTTTGTAATGTCCACATGAACACTAAAATATTTTGGGTAGTGGATGATTTATGAAATGTGACACGTTTTGTTCGGTTGATTTAACTTTCATGTACGCCAGCAGTCTGATTTTTCATTATTATTTTTTTTATTTTGCTGTAATTCCACTACCGTTTGTGATGATCTGATTGGGGAGATAAGTAAGGGAGGAGGGTAATAATTGTAGGCTACCCACTTTAGATATATCTCTCTCTCTCTCTCTCTCTCTCTCTCTCTCTCTGGCTGTGTCAGTATTCTGTTTTTTTTTTTGTTTTGTTTTTTCCTTATGAATGTTATAATCAACTCTGCATCTGATGTACCTGTGCAGTCCTGCTCTGTTGCTTTGGTCTTGTCAGTAAACGTCATGCCCTATCGATTTCTGTATTTGAATTTCTAGATTGTATTTCTTAAACAATAGGACAGTGATACCTTATTAATCCCCGTGGGGAAATTCTCTTTTTGCCTTCCCCATCTTGCTCTCCATGAGACACACAGACACGCATAGGTGAGAGCAAGCTTGGGGGGTCACAGCACAGGGTGACCTAGCATGGAGCTCCCCTGGAGCTGGGGGATAAAGGCCTCGCTCAGAAGCCTTATGGTGGCATTAGTCTGCTGGCCTTGGGATTCGAACAGGTGACTGTCGAAATACAGCAAGAGAGTCCTAATCCACTTAGCAGCAAAATAATCCTAAATTGTACAGTAAATTATCATCCCAGTGATGATATCAGTTAGAGAAACTGATTTGTTGGTAAAATTTGTTGGGTATGTAAAGTTCCCTCATGGACAGGTATCGTAGTACATGAACAGCTAATGGATAACGGCAGTCTAAAAATTGAATAATTTATGCTTATTTTATGTATATTTTCTTTTTAGCAGGCTTTTCATTTGCATTTGTCCAAATGTTTGTTTACATAGGTATTTATTTTACAGAATTCATACTGGTGACCGACCGTATAAATGTGCCCATCCAGGGTGCGAGAAAGCCTTCACACAGCTCTCCAATCTTCAGGTCAGTGCACGCGCAGTTTCTGGCACAGCTGGCCTTTTATTAACTGCTTATGCAGTGAGGATGCAGTGCATTTGAATACACGAGCCTTCACGAAGAACTGTAAACCAAGGACGACACGCAATCATAAACTGTCTGGCAATGTATTATTGAAACGCTGGACTAGCTGTAGGTATTTTTCAGTTTTATTATTGATAAATAAAGTATGAATTATGAAGAAGCTTGCTGGTATAGGTGTATAGCGTCAGCATTTGAATCCAGCCCTCGCTGCTCCTTGTGCGTCCCAGCGTGAGTTTCCTTCAGGTAGCCATCATGAACCACTTTGACACCTACAGTACATGGCCCTTGACTGCTAGTATTGTCTGTGTATCTATGTGTGTCTGTGTAACTTGCAAAGGATTAATTGTTAAATCCTCCTTGATCCACATTCTTCCCAACACTGGCATCGATCAGACAGACTCTCACAGTATACTAGTTGTTTCATATCACTATTTAGGGACAGTATATATGTTCTCTTCAGCCGACTTGCAGGATAATCCTCACAGCATGTTAGTGTTGATTTTTTTTTTCTTCAACCACATAACGTAGCTTAATCTCTGCCGAAGATAATTGTGAACCCCAAGTTAGCTGATCAACAGTCAACTCGAAGGTAATCTTTCGAAGGATTGGTAGTATTTATGAATTGAAGTAGTTATTCCGAGGTGTGCATGGATTATTACTTTCTAAGTTTTGTAAAGTACCCCCCAAACAAGACCTGTATTAGAAGGACCAGGAAATAGAGAATACCTGAGTTACAGGAAGGAAGTGAGTCCAGTATTAATCATAAAGTCCTGGTCCTGTGTGCCTCTTTGGGTGAGTTGAATGTCTTTGATCGTGCTTTACGGATTCCTGGATTTCAGCTGGTAACACCCTGTCTTACATCACAAACATTTTGTAGCTCACTTGTTACCTACATCTAGATTTGTAGTCCACTGAACCGCAGTAATGTTTGTTTTCGTTTTTTCTTCCCCTCCTTCCAATTCAGTCACACCAGAGACAGCATAACAAAGACAAGCCGTATAAGTGTCCCAACTGCTACCGGGCCTACTCTGACTCCGCGTCACTGCAGATCCACCTGTCGGCGCACGCCATCAAGAACGCGAAGGCATACTGCTGCAGCATGTGTGGTCGGGCGTATACCTCTGTAAGTACATGCGTGTCCATAGCGGCGTCCCCGCTGAGACCAGGCTGTGCCCTTTCTGTGTGATCCTCTAGTTCGGTGTTTCCCAGTCCGGTCCTCGGGGACCCGCAGACTGCCCATGTTTTTGCAAAAATGTGGACAATCTAGCAGGGAGCTGGGAGGAAGCAAAACGTGGTCCGTCTGCGGATCTCCAAGGACCGGGTTGGGAAATGCTGCTCTAATTTGTTGTGTGCCGCTGTCCGGCTACAGGGATATCACAGATATAGATACAAATTAAAGTTCAGACATTGGATGGGTTTTTTTTTCCTTAATCTTTTAGCAGCTTCACATCCCGTCTTGCACTTTCTGCTTTCTCCAAGCTCGATGATTTGAACGTTTGAAATGGACATGTGACTGTTCAGCAGAATAGTCACATGTTCACGGCCCATTGAGTGAGGTCCTTAACCCCCCTGCCCTTCGCTAGTAAGCTTACTCTCACCTAAATATGTGTCTATGTGTTGTGGAGAGCAAGATTGGGTAGGTGAATAGAGAATTTCCACGCAGGGATCAATAAAGTCTCATTATTATTATTATCCATCCATTATTATCCTCCGCTTATCCGAGGTCGGGTCGCGGGGGCAGCAATCTCAACAGGGAAACCCAGACTGGTGCAGTGCATTATTATTAATTATTAGTTAATATATATTATCAGACTGTAAAACTTTTTTTTTTAAAGATTACAACAGACACCTCTTCCACAAATCCATAAAGCAGTTATCCATCCTCCTTTCTATTGAAAACAACAGCAAAAATATAGCTAAAACATATGTACCAAACTAATGTGATGCAACATTGTAACACTAATCAGATGTGAAAATAAAACCAAAGACCGCCAGCGAACTCAGCTGGCGTCTGTTTCTGTCTTGCAGAGCTACCCTTCTCTCTCTTCCTTCCCGTCTGTCTCTTTCAGGACAGTTTTTTACTGTCATTAGGTATGAACTTAGCACAAGCTGGAAATAAACTAATGGAATACAGCCAAATACCCAAATCTGATCTAAAATACATGTAACACAGCTAAAGTCAGTTGGTCTGTTTTACTACTTCTTGATATCAGTGTGACTGGTGAATTCTGCTGGAAGAGGCTTCTGTGCTCCGTGGGTTAATGCACGGGCTTCTCAGTTGTTTGTCGAAACAAACACGTTTAACTTTTAAAAGCCAGTTTTGCATCGATAGGAGTGTTGATTTAATGCTATGCCGTCCATTCTAAATCATACATCATAGTGATCAGCTTGTGATTTTTCTCCCACGTGGATCAGCTGAGTTTTTTGTGCTTCTGTGTTTCAGGAGACCTACCTGATGAAGCACATGTCCAAGCACACGGTGGTGGAACACCTTGTCACTCAACAGTCCCCTCAGAGAACCGAGTCCCCCAACATCCCCATTCGCATCTCCCTCATCTGAGGAACCAGCTGCCCTAAATCCTGCCCCACGTAGGACTGAAGGTCGTCTTTTTATCTTCATGAACCTAAGGCTCTTTAGTTTTCCTTTATTTTAATTCTTTTTTTAATATTTCTGTAATCATTCCAAAAAATGTGCCAGACTCTAAGTACTTCAAGACAAAAAAATCTTTCTGTGCCATTGCGGAGTTATGGTTGAGAAGCCCAAAAAGGATTATACAGCACTTTCACTCTTGTTATATTATTAAAATATATTTTTGACCCATAAAGGATAGATATTATTTAAGACGTATAATCATTACCATGGAAAATATTTCAAAGCTTTTAATGTATTTAAAAGCGTTTTGTTTTCTCTCCTTTGGGGTTTTCATGTTTACAATATCGAGGGGGGTCATAGTGAAAATTTCATTAAAATGGTCATTTTTAATCAGTCATGCAAAACAAAATATTTCACATTTTTTCCAGTCTTTAGTAAATTTCAGCAATGGAGGAGCTGATTGATCGAGTTAAAATCAAAAAAGAGGAGCTTTGCACATTGGCGTATCTAAGCCGAGGAGAATACCGCTGTTAAACAGTAGGTGTCAGTGTTGGTCCTTCCCTTGATGTCTTGGCCACTGTTAAGTTCTCGACTGCCATAATGCATTACAGAATAGCCCTGAGTTTCTTATAGATAATAAATACTTAAAATGAGCAATTAAGACTGAATAAAGTGCAGCTACTACAGTTACCGTAGTTAAAGGGACTGACCTGCATTGCTGAAACTGCTTCAGCTAGACGTGCATTTTTATTTAGCGCTCAATTTTATTCAGGCGGATCGATCAGAGCCGGGTGCATGTGCACAGTCCACGTTTTTCCTGAAGCTACTGTAACTTGATTGTATTTTTTTGTTGTAAAATGTATTCTACTTTATGGCTGCTTTTAATCAGTCATAATCAGTATTGATAAGTTTAAATGGGATTTGTTTGAGAAACAAAGAAAAACGGTATTCGACCGAATTTTTATGATGCGAGGTGGTGTGTGGTTTTTCTTAAACACCACTGTAACGCTCAAATGTTTGACGATTAGAACCTTTGAGATAATCTGGGACACACATAATAATTCTACTAACACATTATGGAGAGATCATGACAGTACTATGGTTTTCAGAAGGTACATGTTGCTATTGGATAACTATAGTTGGTATCACAGAGTACTTCAGGACAGTATGATGCAGTCCTTGTGTGAAACTTCTGCCAAGCGATAAAACACACATTGGTCAACAATGTGTTAAACACTCTAATAAATTTTAAGAACTGGTTCACTCGTGGCTTTCTGTGCTGGATTCATCAAATGTGCTGCATATGCAATGGTTCCAGCATTAACGACATATCTGCAAGGTCGGTATATAAACATTCCCATGTTGACATTTGCTTTTTTTATTGGCGTTTCCATAGCCCTGCTTAACTTTCACTCAGAAATCTCCCCCCCCACCTCCTTTGTCTTTAACGACTATACAGACATGATTTGGCAGGTTTTGACGTTAAGCTATGTAATTTGGGGGGGGGGGGGGAAGCTGGGACTTAGGTCTGAACATCATGCGATTTGCTGGCAGTGTCACCGTGACATTTTGAATAAATCAAAGGTTTTAGGTTTATGTGCAATCTATATTTTGTTAAATATAGAAATGCGAGCCGTTTGGCCATTTCTCCCGGAAATCAAGCTGCCAACAGCAGATCCCTGCTCTAACTTTTTTATGGTGTAAATGAGCATATTTACATTTATACTTTAAATATACCTTATGACCTTTTATAATTAAAATTTTAAGAGACTTCATTTTTTTTTCTTGGTAAAATGTGTATAGTTATGTATAAAAGACCTCTTTGATAACCCTGTTACTCATGTCTAAATATTAATTTGTTATTTTTTTACACATTTAAGCCTTAACTGTCTCTACGACCATATTTACTTTTTTCCCAACATTGTTGCTCTGTACCTAGTACTGTATGCATTTTTATTTCTTAGCATGGAATATACTGTAAAAATCTATATATCAACTGTTAACCAGTTTTCAATATTAAATCATATAGGTATATGTATTTTTTTGTCTTGCATTGTGGTTTCAATAGTAGTGTTGGCACAGCCAATGCTGAGATGTAATATGTGTAAAAACTAGTAAAACAAAAAAGTAGAATGATTTATATCTTTTCTTGTTTAATAAATGCAGGTTTAATGTTTTATCTGGCTGACTTTAAGAGCATCTGTGAATAGAAATTGTAGCAGTCTAATTGGTCTAATTGGCTATTTTTGCAAACTGACCACACTAGCAATTCCCATACAGCAGATAGCCAAACACCGGATGTTTACATCAGCGACAAACAAGCTAACTTTCAAGATATTTTCTCCCTGCTGGTTTAGACCACACAGTTGCACTCGGCACTGTTGTGTCCACCATGAGTTAGGAAGCACAGTGACATGAATGAAAACCAGCAAATCCTGTCTTTTAATAATGTTTATTAGAAAGAATAACACGTGATACAGAGCAGTATGTCTATAAAAACATATAAGGAACATCGAAAATTATATATACCACAAAAAATACGAGATGGTGTTTATGCCAGTTTTATCAAGTGATTTAGTCTTTTCAGGCTTATGCAAGTCATGGCTATGTGCCAAAACTGGACACAAAAAATGTATGTCAGACAGGAGTTTTGTGTCCCACAATATGTTTACCTAATTGGGGCAGTGTGTGGCTCAGTGGGCTAAGCCTGTGGGTCTATAATCACAAGGTCATGGTTCAAACCCAGCCTCAGCACGTCTGCAGTTCCTTGAGCAAGGCCCTTAACCCCCAGTTCCCTGGGTGCCCCAACAGGTGGCTGCCCTTCACAGACAGCTTACTCTACAAAGAGCAAGTTGAGGGAGGCATAAACAGAATTTCCCCACAGGGACAATAAAGGATTGATTATTATTAGTTTTTTTATTATTATTATTATCTTTATTAAACACTACAAACATCTTCTTGGTTACGTTGTTGCAGTTTGACATGGCTAAGAAACTGTCTTTTGAAATAAACTATTAGCAATTTCGTACCTCAGACTAGTCACACGGGCTGAGTTTTCCAAAGCCTTCTTAACACTCTGTCGTTTGTAAGTTCTAAGTAGGCTTCGGGAAACTCCCCGGTGGCTGATAATGACTGAAATTCAAAACTGCCAAACTGAACAGTTTCCTTTACACGTAGGTGTTCTTTGTGTACAATAAGTAAGTATAGCTTTATTGTCACTGCACAATGTACAACGAAATTTGCAGTGCATCGTGAATAATAAATATTTAATTCTTAAATTAAAAATTACTAAAATAAATACCTAAAAAATACTCTTACTTCCAAATTGACAGTTAGCTGAACAGAGAATGTCAGCGTGATCCACAGGCAACTGTCTTCTTAATATCGTTATTTATCATTATCGTTAAGTCTTCCTGAAAAGTCCATACCCCTTTAATAGTTTCTCCTTTTCTTTTTAGTCACTCCATGACCAAAGCCACTTTGATCTTAAAAGCAGTGCATGGAGAAAATTGTGTTAGGTGCATATGAACTATTAATTTGAGAGGGTAGTACAATGCAGTTCAATTGTATTGAGTTTCATACATCTGCCTTTATTAAAATATTGTAAGAGCCCCTGTTTGGAATGGATTGGTTTCACTCGTATTTAAATGACAACCAGACAGGGTACAAGGCCTTGACTACAAAGTACGTAATATGCACTTATATTGTCTGGGTTCTTTAAAAAAAAAACAAGGTGTAATTTTAATTTTGCAGAGCAGGACCCATGTCTGTAAAATTACAAAAGCCATCCTACTTTCAATAGGAACTTTATTTTTAACTTTCATTATGTAGATGCTGATGGATCATAGCGCCAAATAAAATACCATTATAAAGCTGTGATGAGCCTAATCCAGCCTGTATCAGAGCTGTAATTTTAATGCTATATCACAAAGACGAGATAGAATACAAAGGGGCATTTGAAGCGCAGAGTTTTGCATTTGGGGGAGATGAACCTGATGTCAAAAGGGCTCCTCAGTTGTACCAGTTCTTTGTTGAGGAAGAACTTCATTATTCAAAGTAGAGTTAGGACACCATTCCCCCCACCGCCGCTTCCACAGACTGCACACTTACAGTACACAGAGCTACCCAGGGATTTTACTGGAATCCTAGAATTTAATTTACTACCTTGTTTACTACCAACAATCGGGCAGCGATCCTTTTTTTTTTGGGGGGGGGGGGGGTGTAAATCTTCATACCCATCATAAATATTAGGTTAATTAATGTTTAACTGTTTTTTTATTAAGTATTGTCATTAAATATTATTTGTTTTTTTGTAGTGTCAAGTTGAGTTTCGTTTGTCCTTACCTTAACTCTAGCCCTTGGGTTATCCTAACCATAACCCTTAACCCCACCTAATAAAGTCAAATTGACACTTCTTAAAACAAATGACACTTGACAACAGCCATAAACATTGATAAAATTTTATGTGTCACGTGACACACACTAAGACAGACACACATTTTCATACACAGAGACTAAAGTACTGAATTATTTCATCACGAGGTAACTTGTAACAATAACACACTGGATAAAAAAACTGTCTAAAGAGTCCATGGAATGGTAATGGGTGGTAACTATTGGTATTTATTGGTTGATGCAACGTGAGTTTGAACATGTCCCAAAATAAATCTTAAGAGAAAAGTTTAACAATTTTACCTGTATATACTGTACAATATCTGTATTGTTTATATGTAATTTCTTAAAATGTGGCATTTTAATACCTTTCAAGAGCCTTAATTTTGTCTGATTTAATTTACTACCTTTTACTACTGCATGGACACCCTGTAACCATACTCACAAGTATGCCTGTACCACTTTGACATTTTCCACTTTGATGGTAACAGAGTTTTGTAGTTGCTTGGTCTGCCTTAAGTCTACCATCAGCTCCTTTTTTCCTACACTGAGTTACAGGTGGTTATCCTTACACCACTCAGTCAAACTCTCCTCCAGACTTCTGTGCTCATCTTCTATCCCTTCATCCTGCAAACACAAAATCACTGAAGAACTTCTAAAGACAGCATATGCCAAAGTTGTATTCCAAGACTGTGGTGCAGAGCGTAAACAGGACTAGTGACAGTACTGTCTCTTGGGATGCCACTGTGTTGCTCAGCATCACACCACACATGCAATTACTGATGCTGTCTGTGGCCTGCTGTAATCTAGGTGACCATTGCACCCTCTACCTGCATCACCTTGAGCTTCTCCCCCAGCAGGTAAGGCTATATGGTGTTAAATGCACTGAAGAAGTCATTAGACAGAATTCTCAGGATGTTGCCCAACATGTCCAGGTGTGAGTAGGCTCTGTGAAACAGCAACAAAGTAACATCTTCCATATGTACTATATGTCTGCCTGTTATTCATACAATGGGCCAAGGGAGTCCTACACAAGATACTAGAGCATCAGCCTCTCAAAAATCATTGTGATATGAGCAGCACCACTGATGTGGATGTGCCGGAGCGCTCCTTCTTTGGCATGGGGAGCTTTCCATGGGGAGTGTATTTTGTAGTCATGGAGACCAGTTGAACAGACCCACTCCCAGCTGGAACATTAAAAATATTTTTATTGAAATATATTTCTTACATATGACTAGCACTAAGCATTGTGTTAGTGCTCAATATATATTAACAGATAATTTTGTGTGGCTAAATCAAAACTGTAGTTTAGTCGTAACTTACGACAAGTCAACCTTGGACCCCCAAAGGTTTTTTTCTCCCTACTTGGGAGTTTTTAGTTCCTCTCCTCTGTTATCCTCTGGCTTTCTTTATTTAATTTTTTTCCTTTTTCCCCCGTTCTGTATCTCCCTCTACTTCTGTTTTATGTATCACAACACAACCCTGTAAAGCGCTTTGGGATATCTCTGTTGTGAAGGGCGCTATATAAAAATAAATTGAATTGAATATTGATTTCACAATTAAGCATAAATTGATTCAATGTTAAAGAACCCACCATAAATCAATGTTGATTTATCATCCCTGAGCATAAATTGATTCAATGTTGAGTATTTTCAGTAATATCGATGTTGACTCAGCATCTCATTTTCAATGTTGAAAAAGTCACTTTATTGAAACAAGGTTTTGCCACCATCAATTGTTCAATATTGAAAATCTAATCAAAAATTCAGTTTCAACGTTGATAATTTAACACTGACCATAATTCAACGCATCTAACTATCCTTCAACTTTGAAATAATAACATGATGCTAAAAAATGCTCATTGTGGTATGACAAACAATACCTCACATAGAAATGTCGAGATTCAGAACCAGAAAAACTTGTTTTTAATGACCAGCTGCAGGATACTAGTAAGGCGGGGCATGACCTTCCCGGAAGCGCCGAATGTACCTTGTATTTTATGCGTAACTTTTCAAATATTACTCCCCGTTGGACTAGCATTTCAGATCTATTTAAATATGTGGGTTATGGGATAACACTGTGAGAAATCTTATTTGTTTTTGAGGTAAATACAATATTGTTACATAATGACTGAAATTGTAATGTGGTTTTGCATTTAGCGTTATTTTGGCTCAATCCATTGGAATAATCATGTGCTTGAATGTTAATTAGAGTAAAAGTCTGCAGTAATATATATTACTAGGATTGGCATATTAGAGTCATTTTTAAAATTGTGTTGTATGAATTATAATGAGAAATTTAAGTTTTCAGATATTATAGCAAGTGAGTATCAACTAATCATTATATTATAGGCCTGATGAAATAACCATCTACATTATTAGGGTGCTGGGCTACTGGAAAGAATAAATATTTAAAGAATAAATAAATGCATATTAATACAACTATAGATCTTATCCCCTAGTAAGAAATGGAAGCGGTTACGTGATTATTGTCTTTCATCTTTTTTCCCCTTTAGTATCACATGCTCGTGTTTACAATTTGAGAAGCGTTCTCTTATTTTCGGTGCCTGGGGTGATTCTTTTCTGGAAAATTTACACTCTTTTACAGGGATTCTGGAAGTTATACTGTAATTGTCACGTAGCCTTGACTATTTTATGCCTTGTCATTCAGACAACTCGTTCGACTGCTTTTCGGACATATTTCACGCAAAAACCACCTCCAATTTAAATTACCTACGCAACATCCGTGAAGTGATTTCGTGACAAAGCCAGTCTGGAAGCAGAAGTTGTTATCCTGCACATGAAATAACAGACATTCGCGTAAAGTATAATAGTATTTCTTTGGGATTTGCTTAAGACAGCTATAAGATGGAACCTGTTTTTGTTATTTTAATGACCAATCTTATGAAACTTCGGCCAGCCGACATATATTAAACGTAGCCTTGGATGTACATATACGTCTGTGTATTTAGTAGACTCTATATACCATCAGTACGTTTTGGGGCTAATGTTTTATCCTCTGTTTTTTTTTGCTCTGAAAAGACCCGCCCTGACCTTCAATACGTAGCCTATACGTTTTGGATTCATTATTATGTGGGACTCGAAAGCGGAACGGAAGGCAGTTTTTTTCTCTCCTGCGTTAAAGTAAGTACTGCGAGTTTATTTAATATAATGTTTTTAATTTTTATATAGCATTTTCATTTATTTTAATCTATTAAAAAACAATTACGATACAAATAGGAGCAGTAGGCTATTGTGTTGTTTTTAACAAATGTCTGGTCAGGACAGAAGTAGGCTATATTGTTTTATTTTTTTAGAATGTAGGTTTTAGACATTCTGTATAAATACAACGTGTGCAAGTTGGAGCGTGAAAGATTTACAAAGTAAGTAGGCTAATTGTAGTACCTTAGGTGTGATTATCTGTCACGACGCATATGTGGTCCTTTGCGTTTGATTTGTCAGGTGCGCTGTTTTATGTCTGGAGAGCTTCACTTTATCGGCCAAGAGGACGTATCTGTACGAAGTTAATCCAAATTCACTGCTGATTTTTTTAGCGTGTTTATGGTGTTTATTTCCGTTGATGATTTTTGTGGAATTGGTTAATGTTCGGAGTTTCGGTTTTTGTGGTTATTTTGTAGCTTTTAAATATTTATATTAGAAGCAGGTAATAATTCGTTTTGGGAAAGGATCAGTCAGTCTGAGGGAAATGAGATGGCGAAGGAGTGGATGGTGTGTGACGCAGCGATGTAGATCTGATAAATCGCAGGGTCGGTGGAGTGATTTCACCCATGGACCATTGAGCAAAGCCCTTAACCCACAAGTACTCCAGTGACTGGATAATTCTGCTTCATTAATCCTGCTGTAATACGTAGTCTTGTCTATATTGCTGGCATGCCAGGGTTTTGGGAAAAAGATCCCAGACAGCAAAGGGTAACTGTGGCAGATCTGGGCCAGACATTGGATAGAATTTGGTGCAGATCCGCAAAACGGGTTTGCGCCGGGGTCTTTCTTTCCAACGGCCCAATACCGGCACGGATTTGGATTGGGGATCAGGAACAGACCATGGCCAGTACTGGCCCGATACAGTTATTAATGCTATGATATTTGGTGTGGAT